TGGGTCACCTTAGAATGTGAGAATCACATCAGTGACTGCTGGGAAGAACATCCAGGAGAGAGAAAGAGAAGAGATGAGGCGAGACCCAGCTTTACTCCTCCCAGGAGTTCTCTACAGTCTTGCTACGTTTGAACTTCCAGAGGACAGAATTCTGCCTGCTAGTGTTTAGTGAATTGAATTTCATCCTTAGAGACCTGCTCACAGCTCGCATTGACTTCAATGGGAGTAATGGGCCATTTGGTCCCACATCTGTGCCGGCTTCAGGCTATTTAACAAACTCCTAAACAAATCCCAATAAAGTGCTCTTTAATGGGTATTTAACTTTGTCCTGGGGGTGGGTGCTGAGCACACCTAAGTCCTTTCTTTCCCTTCAGGTTTGCTAAGTTTCCTACTTTTTATGGCTTGATATTTACTGCAGCAGAGAACCCTGAGTTAAGCAGTATTAAACCCACTGAAAGTCACAAGATGTCTGCTTTTATTGATCTCAGTTGATCTGTTTACTCTCTGGGTTCCAATTTAATGGTTGAATTGATTATTCATTTACATTTTTAATGTTGTTGTGGACAAAAACATTTAGCATGAATCATCTCTAACTTAATGAATGACATAAAACATCATTTTGGATTTTCAATTTCAACAAGTATTTGTTATGCATCTAAGCTCAGGTGAACTTATCAGGGATTAAAAGGTCATTGCAGTTTCTGGTAAAAGGTGCTGGAAATGATAGTTGTGTTTTTCTACTATGTGAAGTTATTACTTCTAAGTAACCACCCTGTGTCAGTGAGTGGTAAGGACATTAGCTTTTGTGTCGTACACTAATCATACTTTATCTAAGAACAATTAAAAATCTATAATGCCCACACCTTTGTTTGAATTCTTTCTTAAATTAAATCCATATGTCACCAAGATTTGTTTTCCTTTTAGATGATTTTGCTTTGCTGCTGATGCAGAAATAGTGAGAAATTATACTGTGGACAGCTCAGTGAAATATGAAAGAGCATGGTTTTATTAGCTCCTGAAATTCTCTATTTAACAAAGGTACGCAACTTGGAAGATCTAGCTACACTTATATTTACAATATAGTGTTCTACTTGAAGGCTCTTTGAGTATGCTCATGGAGTTCATTTGGTGATGTTTTCTTCCCTCACAGCAAACAGGTGAACTCTAAAAATATGACTGCCTGTGGCTTATTCCTCTCAGTAGGATTGTTTTGAATATAATATTTATGACTATATATCCAATCACCTACCACCTTCACTGCTTTCTAAAATGAGATGAGGCCTAAGAAAATACATAAATGCATATTTTTAGCTGCAATAGTCCTCTTCTATCTGACAGAGTTTAGTGCTAAACCAGAGTTTAATGCCAATTAGAGTTTCACTATTCATTTTCTGGGGAATAAGTGCCAATGTTTGGTGAGAAGAACAGTGAAAAATGAAATAGCAATGAAATATTTGAAAATACTTCACCTTTACTAATTTTCACTGTTAATTTTATTAGTCTCAGTACCAAATGTATAGATCAAGGAAATGAGTTAATTTTGATCTAAGAAAAACATTCAGGTGTCCAATAGTATTAGTTTTTCTGTGTGGAATTACTAAGCTCTTTTCTATCTACCAAACCTGTGAGAGGTAGCAAATTATAAGTAAAAATAAGATAAAAATTCTGATTTTCAGGGTATCTCAGTCTCATAGGCATATAAACAGATCGCTGAAATAGAATACTATTTCTAAAGTGCTACTGAGCAGTCTGGGGTCTCGGAGAGTTCAGGAAGAGGTAAGAATTGAGTGTGATGGTGACGAATTAGGGAGTTCTCCAGCAAGAGTATTGTGCAGAGGGTCATCCATATTGACAGGCCAGACTCAGAAAGGAGGATTTAGAAAGAATTTCTGGATATTTAGGAAATGATGTGAGAATATGGGCAGACTATAGGGTGATGAAGAGGACCCATTACGGTAAAACACACATTTGCATAACAAAAGAGTGGTGTGGGTGGGTGATAACGATGATAATGATTTTGACATTGGCCATGGGAGCCAAAGTTTCTCTGACAGCGACATGCTGCAAGAATTGACTGATATAGATACAGTGACTGCAGAACTCCTTGATTTGGATGACAATGGAAATAGCAAAATAGTACATATTTGACTAGTCAAAATGTTATGAAATGATCACTAAACCAGACAGAACAATCTAATGTTAGAACAAGGCCCAAAAATACACTGAGGATCTTGGCAGGGGTAAAACACACTGGACAAAATGCCAACACTACCATTCAATGTTGGAACTTGTAACAGATGAAATGCTACAAGATGCTATGAAATACACAAACCTGAAATATAAGGAAAACGTTCTATATTATTCTAAAATGTATTTATTGTGATGCCTCACTAGCTAAACTGAAGTATTCATAGATCTGCTGTATTTAGTATGGATTTCTCATGGTAACTGCAGGAATATAAAAGACTTACGGAAAAATGCTGGGTCAAAATATGGCATAAAAATGTATACCCTTTTAGATATGTGCTTTCAATTTAGAAATTTATCCTGGAACCCAGCCATCAGGTTTTTATTCATATAGTAATAAATGGAACGATGTTATGAATACATTTGTTGCTTTCATCTGCCAAACTAATTGGAATTCCCTCCTAACCGTGTGTGGCATAAATGGTTTGATAGTGTACAAAGAAAACAACAAGTACAAAATACCATGGAGAAATTTTCTTAGAGGATTGGGACTGGAACTCATAAGAGATCATTTATAGCAGAGGGAAAACAAAATGTTTCTAATTCCCAGGGAATTACACAAATAAATTGTGGTCCACACTGATGAGCTGACAAGTGAATAAACAAGTGCAGCATGCCAAAGACCTACTATGACAACTGAAAAACTCTGCACTACAAGAAAAGGCAAGAAAACAAAACAGTTGCTATCACTGTACGTGATATTTGTGTATGGAACATGCAATGTTCATGTGCGAAAACTGCCTTGGGTCTGACCAATGAAGTAAAGATTACATTTGTTGTAGATTCTATTGTTATTTCCATTGTAGTTCACATAGACTTTTATTTCTGATGTTATCTCTGTTATCTCTGGTTTTGTAGGCAAACAAATAAACAGCTAAAGTGAAAATGTTGATGTCTATTCTAAGCACTCTTTACATATTTGATATTTTATTGATCTCTTATTTCCCTGCTAAGTGCATATTGTACAACATAGTAGGAAGCTCTTGACAAAGCAGAAGGAGAAGTAGCAAAAATGGCCTGCCATATAGGAAAGGAAAGCTAAGCACATGTGCTGTCAGTGTAAGTGAGACGCATGCAGGGACCATGTAGTTGTCATATATGAAGACTGCCTTGGGTATGGCAGTTGAAACAAAGATTATTTTTGTGGTAGACTTTTGTGTTTCCCCTGTAACACATAGGTTTTTGTGTCTGATGTTTTCTGTCAGGTTTTGTAAGCAAATACACAGCTGATGTGAAAATGTTGATGTTTGTTCTAAATGTGTAATGCATAATAAGAGTTTAATACTTTATTTTTTTGATATTTTAAGTTTCTGTTAATTAAACATTGTATAATATAATAAGAACCTCCTGACAAAACAGCAAGACCAGTGAAATGTCAAGTATGTCCAACAAAAAGACCAGGAAAGCAAAACATATGTGCTGTAAGTATAAGTGATATGTGTGTATGGAACATGCTACTGTCATGTGTGAAGACTGCCTTAGGCGTGATAATTGAAGTATTTGTAGAGGGCTATTGGTATTTTCATAGTAGTTCATATAAGAATTTATTTCTGTTGTTATTTTTAGACTTTTTACACCAAAAACCAGTTGATGTTGATAATTTTGATGTTTTTTCATGAACATTCAATAAATATCAAAAATGCAATACTTTATTTTTATGATTTTTTTCTTGTTAAGTAATTATTGTTTAATATAATAAAACTCATCAAATTAAAATTAATAGTTCATCAATACAAATGTTGTAAAGAATAAATGTGAGTTTGACACGCCCATATTTATGAGACTTTATAACAGAAAAAATGTGTTATGTGCTTCTTTTTTTTCTCTCTCTTTTTTTTTTTTTTTGGTCTTTTTGAGACAGGGTCTTGCTATGCAGTTCAGGATGGCCTTGAGCTCGCTTTGTAGCCCAGACTGGCCTCGAACTTGCAACAATCCTCCTGCCTCAGCCTCCTGAGTGCTGGGATTACAGGCATGTGCCGCCATGCCCGGCTCCTTATGCTCTTCTTAAGGAAGATAAAAATGGCTTGGCAAGAAAAGCTGTGGATCAGAAGGGCTTAGACTTATGTGGACAATAGACAATCACTGGCTGATTGTAAGCCCAACAAAAGAGAGACTGAGCTCTTACAGATCCTGAAATGGAAGCAGAAAACAAGGGTTCAGGTTACAGTAAAAAAAATGGGGGTGGGCAGATAAAGGATCTAGTGAAGGCCAGGTGCCGAACAGGCGCATTTTCATCCCGTGTTCTAAAGTAAGCAAATGGAACAACACAGACTTTCTTACTAAGCTAATGACTTGGGTTCTATGTCCGCTTTCCCATAAAATGGTCCACTGTAATGGTACGAGCTTAACTGAATTCTTGCTTCTTTATCTACTTTGGGAACATTTCTAGACACTTCTATAGCTATTCATCAGATAAGAACCTTATTCTGTGGTCATTTCAATTGTGATCACAATCTTCACAGAGTTGCATAAGTGAATTGCATCTTTAATACTGTAATTTGATGATAATATGTATCCATTAGGTGAAATTTTTAAAAAAGTATATTTGATGAAGAAAGGGGCATCAGAAAGGATTGAAAAAATAGAATTTGAATTAGCTATGCATGGCATTCTTAAATTATTTTTTAATATCATTTGCTTCATATAAGAACATTTTCATGCACTGTACCTGACAAGATTAATGCCTGTGGAACCCTTTGGTTCCCCTTGTTCAGACCAGAAACGGCCAGGTCAGGCCTGCGTAAGTCTCATACCTGTGCTGTCTTCGTACACCACTGTCACCGTTTTCCAGTTGTAGTAGAGGACCAGATCCAGGACTGCCCTGCTGATAGCTGCATAATCGGGGTACAGGTTGATGTAAAATAAGTCTTTGTTGTCCACTGAGGGGTGCTTCCAGCGGGTCTGTATGTGTGGAACTTCCAGAGCATTGCAAATGGACTGCACAGCGCTGACAGAGGAGCTATGAGAAGGACCGAAGAGGGCAGCCACCCCGAGAGCCAGCTGGTCACAGGCTGAGGGTGTCCAGGATGCAGAGCAGAAGAGAAGGAGGCAAGGAAAGGGGGAGACAGAGAGACACCTATGAATTTCAGTTTCCCTTTCATGATACCTTGTTTTAATTTAACTATGGGAAAATCTCCTACACCTCCCATCCGTATGCTCAGGAAGTATGCTCCCTCAAACATGCAATATTCTTGAGATACCGAGGTAATGATAGATGTAAATGTAGGTCTGATTAGCAATACATCACAGGGCCAACTCCCTGCAAATAAAAGTGAGCTATTGGTCTCATTTCATCACCTTTAATCAGATGGAGTCTAAATCCCGTGCTTGATGTGTATTACCCAGGAACACTCTGTGAGCTAACCAGCAAACCACTTGTCAAATAAACGTAAGATGAGTTAAGTTCTATCCTATGGCAGGGTGGCAATAAAGATGTTAGTGGGACCACGGAATTCAGAAAAAACATCCCCTGGGTGACTACATAGTACTTCAGCTATTATCTTCCTAAAATTCAGATAGGAGTCCTAGATCACTGAAATATGGCTAAAGAATGTTGATAGCAGTACTGACACTCAGTTAATTACCAAAAATGGACTACCAGAGCTTGAAGGGATCTTAGAAGACATTTATTTGGTTCACCCCTCTCTTTGCAGAGCTCAGCGACACTATTTAATCAGGTCGCTTTCCACCTTACTACCAGCCAACATGTAGCATAACATAAAGAAGTTACTATGTATTCAAGAACTTTTTTATAAATTAATTTTTGTTATTGTGAAAGTACTTACACTGAGTGAATTCATAGTACTTAAAATACGTGAAAGTCCAAAAGATTCTGTATTTAGTCCATCATGTTGGGATAATTCCTACTAACACTTAAGAAAATTTGGATCACTATATAAATACAGTTATGATCCCTTGCTTTTTTATTCTACACCATAGCATGTCTTTCTTTCAAGTTATTACAAATTCTTCAAAGGTATATTTTTAGTATCTGTATATTATTCCATTAATTTAACTAATCTTATAATATTTAAGGTCTTTCTAACCTTTTATTATGATAAGTTAGATTATATCAAACTTTTCTCTTTATCTTAGGTTTTTTTCTTTAGTGTAGATTTCCAGGGTTAACAGCTATAATTAAAGCATTTTGGTATTTTAAAGCTGTAATGATACATATTAACCAAATTCCCCTCTGAAAAGTCTTGGAGTGTTTTATCTTCTACAGCCATGTAAAATAGTGGCTGTGGATCTTATGCTGGTGGGTACTAAATACAAATTTAAATGCATTTTCAAATTTATATTGTCATTCTATTTAAAGGAATTGAGAACTACCAAGAGATAAAATTGTATATTGGTATTAAATAACAGCCAAATTTATAAATGAAATCATATTATATGCTTTTTATATCATAGTCATTTTACAAACAAAAGTAAATAGAAAAATTATAGCTCTGTAAAGTTTGTGACTTGCTTCAGAGAGACAAATGGATAAAACTTTGATAGCTGAATTACAGTTATCTAAAGGATGGCGAATATTGACCGTCATTCCAAGGAAAACTGTCTGATACTGTGGTGTTTGGCATTAACTATATGAGTTATGGGGTTGTATCGTTCTTTATATATGTGTTGTAGGTACAAATTGATGTTGTTTTGAGAAGCTAATTTTCTGGATATGTTTTCCTTATTTACCCATATAAAAAGAGACCACGAGAGCATGTAAACTGTTGTTTTATCCAGCATGAGCAATGGATTAAAATTCCTGCTAATATGTGGCTCTGGGGTACTAATATTGCTTGACAGAAAAATCAATTCTTTTGAATTCTGTTTGCCAGAAAATTACCAGTTTCAGGAAGCTCTGGGGTATTTAATTTACAAGTATAAAGTATAGCAGCTGTTTCAGATCATAAGAAAGCTTTTAATTTTTATGTGGGTTGAAGTATCATTGCTAAATGTAGTTGCCATTCTATAGTATTTGTTCAACTGTGCGTATGTGTGTGTGTGTGTGTATGTTAGAGAGAGAATCAAGAATCTAACCCAGAGAAATCCTGCATATGAGGGTGGCTTATAAACATTACAGAACTGTATAATTATGTGTTCTTATTTGTTCATAGACAACTCTAACCTATATGACATCACCAATTCCATCCATTTTAAAAAGAAACTATTCCTTATATTAAGGTCATGCCATAGGTAGAAACAGATTACTATACTGTTAATTTTTCACCTGTTATCTTAAGAAAAGTTTTATATTTTGTTTGTATATAAGCAAACAAAAGAGGATATTAAGCAAACAGACTATGATCTAACTAGGTTAATACAGATAGCAACCAGTGTTCAGGCACTTGGAGGGGAACTTGAATATGGTGCGGACTGTATTGTTTATTTGTATAGCCATATGATGCAAGGCACCCCTCAGTGAGAAAGAGAACCCCTCCTATGCTGGGAAAACTCATTTTTACACAAACTCCTTTATCAGATAACTACACAGTACCTGCATAAATCTTTCTATGAGCAAAAGCTTGCAGCCCACTTATAAATTAGATCAACTTTGAGGCACTTGTCTTTGGTTCAGAAGAAAAAGAAGCAAATGCAGACTTTCTTCTCTCAGATTTAATCTTTACATTTCTATGACTTTGTGTGAAGGACTAAAAAATAAAGTTGAAAAATGCTAGGTAAACCCATTAGTCTCCAACCTGTTAAAACTCAGGGAGTGACTGATGTGCGTCCTAGGCGTTTCCACAAGTTCAGTGGATGTGACCTTCCCCAAAGTTTTATTTGACTATGCTGTACGATTTCATGGTGGTATCTCTACTTCAGGAAGGAAAAACAGATCAAGCTTGACATTTCTGCATTCACAACTGAACCATTTAATCATGGAGTGGAGGGCACTGAAGGGTAAGCTAATCAGAAAGATCCAAGAAACAGCTAGGCAGCAGTCATTAGGTTAGTTCAGATTGCACTGATCAGTGACAAACAGGGCCGAGATTTCCTACAACCCCTTTGCACTAAGATGTCCACTTTTAAAAAGGGCAGATAGCAAAAAGAAGGTGATTTGTGGGGCAGGCAAGTGACCCAAGGAAGGTTTTAAAAAGTGGGAAAATAGTTACCTCTGCGTGAGGCTTCAAAGCTATCAAAAAGATTAATTCTCTGGATGTCGTAGGTTAATGTGGTGTTAGGCATCAGGGTCCGGTTTCTGTTAATGCTGGTGACTGCAAACTTGAAGGCTAATTCTTCAAGATTAACAGGTTCATTTTCCACAGTTTCAAAAATCCCTCCTGCAGAAGCAAAAGAGATATATGAGAAGCATTAATCACGTGATTCACATGTATTTTTTTTTAAAGAAGTATATAAACCCTAAATAAAAGACCTAACATGATCAATGCAGAAATGGTCAGAGCAGATTCCAGAACAAGGGCTGAAAGTTTATCAGCATATGCCACATGCAATAAATATGTCTCACTGCACACCAGTACTTAAGCTTTTCAGTTGAGTGTTGGTTTGTATGATGTCTCTCTGTTGGTTAATATATCCCAAATATTTTGTACCATGACAATATAGGTAATAGTATAGTGGAGAGCAATTTTCTATGATTTGGACAAAGGTCACAGTGTGCTCGACCCAAACACAATTTGTGCTGTGTCCTGGTAGGACTATCCTTCCTTGGAAAGAAGAACTTTCTATTTAGAAGGAGACATTCTAAACTCTAAAGGGATTATGCAGAGAGCTGAGTGGGATCAAAATGGAATATGCATACTCTTACATTTTTCAGAATGGAAAGATCTTTTCTACGCTTTGTGGCTTAGAATTTGGGGATCATATCTGAGTACTTCCCACATTACATGGGCAGAATCAATGAGCTATTTTTTCTTTTCATTTTTTTTTTTCTAAATTATTTGGTTGTGTCCAAAAGCAAACTTGTATCCCATCTCTGAAGAAATGCATTCCTCACTGAGTAAGTCCACATACCATAAGCTCTGATATTTTAAATATGAAAATCGCAGTACAAATAATAATATGAAATATTAGTACTTAAATGCAACTATGACTTTGAGGCATTGATGATGGGTAGAGTGTACTGTTAACTGTACATCCTTAATATTCTTTAAGTGCTTTTCTGAGGTTATCAACAGACACAGAGTATGAGGTAGAAGACCTCTTAATTACATTCAGCTTGCTCCTGGACTGACCAAAAGTCCTCAATTTGTTTGGAAGTATATTTAAGTGACACCCATGAAATATTGAATACTTGTAATTATGTTTCCTATTTATTTAGACTAAACAATGAGCAATTTCTTACCAAAACTCAGTTGTAAAGTTTTTTTTTTTCCAAATATGTCTATGCTAGACTGATTTGTGAATGCTTTAAGTTTTTGATTGACTCAGGAAAGGAAAAAGTATAAAAAAACTAGAATGAAAATGACAAATAAATGTCATAAGTATGATTTATGTACATTCATTCTTAGAAAACTTCAGTTGACAGGCTCTAATTAAAAGTAATTACTTTGACCCTACTTTGAAAGAATAATAAACAAATGCATAGCTACAATTTCTTTGCTAAACAGGCTGTGAAAACTTAAAAGGCCTATCTTGAAATAATTTGGCTCTCTTTTTGGCTGTATTTCTGGCATTGATAGCCTGATGATATGAAGCCTTTAAGTAGAGATGATTTCCCTATTTGAGATACCATAGTTGGAAATTAATGATAGTGTTGTGTGATCTCGGTCACCTTCACCTTACGACCCATATGGCACATTTTTTTTCTGAAATCAGTGTTGGGAAAATTTTTTCTCTTAAAATAAATTTATGTTTTTCTTTTGTCAGACAATTACAAGAAGGAATTTTGGGATGGTTTTCCCATTTCTGTCAGAATTGTTAATGGATGCTTAACAGGGAAGAGGTAAAGCTCAGAAAAAGAAACATGAATGTAAGGTGAACTTATGGTCTTAATGAAAGGGACCCACACAGGGGGCTATTTGGTATTCATGCATCCACAGTAATTATTAACAATGATTTCTTTACTTGTTTATTTTCCTAGCTTTAGTGAGAACCCTTATGCATAGAGAGACAGTGTGTCTTACTCAGAATCACTATCACTGTGGAGACCCAGGCTCTAACATTTTTAATTCATGAAAAATGTCGATCACAGGTTCAGATGTAAGCACCACTAATCTATCTAGGTTGAGTTAATAAACAGGAGCAAACATCTGAATAGAAAACAGCAGTTCTGTGGGATGGTCATTAGCTTACTTAATTTCTCTTAGGGTAGGACTTTTAAATATTAGGAAGAAAGTCACTATGAACTAGCTCTTTTACATGAATTTTCAAGGTAGGAAATGTTTTACCTTTTTATATGAATGAAAAAGCAAACAGAAAGATTACACATTTTACTCAGTTTCTTGAAATTTACAAAGCCTTTTCTGTGACACATTCAGATGTCCAGTTATCCAACACAAACACACACACACACACACACACACACACACACACACTTCGTTATTTCTGTCATTCTTGATCTCTAAATGTGGGCTGATAATGCTGCCTTGTTTCAGTACTGTGTAAATCAAATGATATAATGCAGTCAAAGTGCTCTGAAAACAAAATTCTTTCCCAGAAACAGGTTAGTATTATTACATATGGGCAGTTGGCATACAAAACAAGTTGGCACCAATTGTAAAACTTCCTGCTCACCTCAAAATTATTCCTTTGGTGTAGAATTGCCCTTTATATAAAGCTGAATGCACTTGGGTCTGAGATAATTGCTTAAGTGTTTTTACTCTGTGCTTAGCTTGTGTGTAGCTGAATTCTGTTTTGTCATTTTGAGAGCAATTCCTTTCACTCCTTCAACAAATGAGAATTCTACATGGTGTCATTAGCTCAGCACCCCATTCCATTTTCCTTTTCTGCTAGAAATGGCATTTGATAAATACCAAAATCCTACAGAGATGTGAGGTACACAGAGTGCCAGAGAAATACCAAGAGAATGAAATCTGACAAGTTATTAATAGGAGCCAGACTAAAGCTTCACAAGAAGGCAGACTGTCTAAGTAAGGACAGGCCACTTCCTCCCTTCTCCTTACGTACCTTCAGATACACGATGTGGAGATTTTGATAAAAGGAATAGAAGGACACATATTTAGAGACCTCCTCCTTCTTCCCTCCCTCTCTCCTTCCTTCCTTCCTTCCTTCCTTCCTTCCTTCCTTCCTTCTTTCCTTCTTCTCTCCCTTTTCTCCTCCTTCCCTCCTCTCCTCCCTCCCTCCTCCTCTTTCTCCTCTCTCTTCTCTCCTTTCTCCCTCTCCATCTTTGTGAGAATTGTAGGTGTGAGAGCTGCCAATAAGCGATATTTAGGGGTATGTATTTGTATATAGCACTCTTTGGATCTGAGCCTTTAGTGATCCAGGGCCTCATTGGTCAGACAAGAGAAATCCCTATCTCATTCCTTCCTCTGTTCCACTTCCTCTTCTACTCTTGCACCTCTCTGGTCCTCTCCTCCTTCCCTCTTTTTTCTCGTAAGTGCATCTCTATTTCTTTTACTCTCTCATTCAGGTCATGCTGGGCATGACTTTTGCTTCTAAAATTCCACAGGCCAAGTAAGGATTAAGAAAGAAAGCCATGGCAGGCTCCCTCCTATCATCATTATGATTATGATTATGATTATTACTATTACTACTTTAGTTTTCCAGGCCAGGTTAGTGGATGAGGAAAAACACCAAGACTTTGCAAGTTCAGGAAAAATAACCTTTGCTTTCTGTGTAGCTCTTCAGAAGCAACACATGGCAGATGCAGCACAGGAGGGTGAGAAACTCCAGAAGCTGCAGGCCTGGGTTCCCAGGTCCTCTTTCAACGCTAACACACACAAGCCCCTCCGCACTTCCCTTTTCCCTTACAGCTTGAAGTCCTGGCACAGGATGATTTAGGTGCATTGTCCAAGCAGGGGGTTAAAAAGTAGAGGATACTGATGTTATTAGACTCATCCTCTGACTTCCTATGTGAATATTTATGCCCTTTAAAATAGTACGGGCAAAAGGATGTTTCTTGTAGATATCAAACTAGACATCAGTTCTGAAAAATGACTGTCATTCTATTCTTAATAAGCGTGTGCTTTTAGATTTCATTGTTTAGAACTTGTCTTCATTTTGCCCATTGTACCTTTTTGGGAAGCATAGATGTTGTTATTAATATTAGTATTCTATTCTATCCCTACTTGAGCAAAAGTATTACACAGAGTCACTGTCATGGCTTGTGTTAAGATGACCTGCCAAAGCCTCATGCAGTTGTAGGTGGGGCTTTTCAGAGGTGGGTGGATTGAGAGTGTGTGATTGATTCAAGGTGTGATGCTAATGTCAAAGTAGTAGGACTAAGGATGTGAGTGCTACTGCCCTAAATAGCCTAGATAAAAATAAGGGATAGAGGGAACTGCTGTTACTCCCGTGCTTATTTTGCTACCTTATGCCTGTACAAACTCTTTCTCCTGTGTGGTACCTGACTGCCATCCACTCTTCTTTGAAGACAGTCGACTATAGAATGAAACATCTACAAACTGGAAGGTAAATAAACCTTTCTTCCTTTAACTTTGAGAAATAGTATTTTGTCTCAGCAATAAGACAAGTAAGTAAAGCAATAAGACAAGTAAGTAAACACAAACTATGTCTTGTCCTTTCCCCATCTCAGTTGTTCTGTTTTTAACTAGCAGTTTCTTTCCCTTTCACAATATCTATTTTAGCTTTTGGATTTTATTTACTCTTTCAGTTTCTTACCCTAGGGAGACAATAATATGTTTACACATGTGGGTCTGATTTACTTCACTTATGAGTATGGTCTCTAGTTGCATCGATTTACCTACAAAAACCTTGAGTTTATCTTTTTATACCTGAGTAATACTCCACTGTATGAAAATACCACATCTTTTTTATCCACTCCTCAGTTGATGGACATTGGAGTTGTTTCCAAGATTTAGTTACGGCAAATTGTGCTGCTATAAATATGGGTGCACATATATTGCTGTGGTATGATATTTGCAGTTCCTCTGAGGAAATACCCAAAAGGGAAATAGCTGGATCAAATGGACCGCTAACCCTAGTTTTTGAGGAATCTCCACACTGACTTCCACAGTGATTTCACCAGTCTACACTTCCACCAACAGTGGAAAAGAGTTTCTTTTTCCCCCACATCCCTGCCAGAATTTTTTGTTGGTTGATGTTTCTGATGAAAGCCATTCTTTCTGGGGTGAGACTGAATCTCAGGGTTGTTTTAATTTCATTTCTCAAATGACAAATG